TATTTAAAAAAAAAAATTATAAAATATTTTTATATTTTAAAAAAATAGATTAGATATGAATTTATAAAATTTAAACAAACAAATTTGCCTGCTAAAACTGGACGGTTTAAGGGATAATTCTATTGCAAGCTACTGCAAACAAAATTCTGGTACAGAGCTTATTCACTGTTCTGGTGACTATAATATGTATTGAAATGGTTTAATTTTATTGTGAATTATTAAAAATAGTTCGGTTACAAAACTTACTATCTAATATTAATATGGTTAAGATGAGTTGGTTGGTTTGCATTAGAATTGTCATGATTTCTATTGTGAGTTACTGAAATAATTTTGGTTCAAACTTGCTATTCTATTTGACTATTATATATGGTTAAAGTAAGTTAGTTTATATTGAAATTGTTATAATTTCTATTATGAGCTACATAAATCACTACTTTGGTAACTACAATACATAGTTGAAATGAAATAATAATAATTTGCATTGGAATTATTTTATTTCTATTGCGAGTTACTATAAAAAATCTATTACAGAACTTGCTATTCGGTGGCTATAATGTATGCTTAAGTTTGGGTTGTAATTGTTGTTGTTTCTATTATGAGTTACTATGAATTATTCTGTTACGAAACTTACTTGCTATTCTAGTAATAACAATATGTAGTTAAGTTAATTTACATTGAAATTATCATAATTTCTATTGTAAAATTCTGTTACAGAACTTATTACTGTGATTTCTATCATTACTTCTGTGAAAATTCTCTGCAAAATCTACTATTCTTTAGATACACAGCGTGCGGTTCACCAATGCACATGCTATTAACATTATCTATACCTCAGTTAATACAGTAATATCAAAGATATGTAAATGCGTAATGCATGGAAGTTGATTTTTAAAAATCATAAATAGATAATTGAGCTTTGATATTATTATATAGAAAACTGTGAATGCATAACTTTGAATGTTTCTGTACTTTAATTCATATTGTCTATATTTTCACGATATATCATATATTTTTACTATAAAGGTTGGCATATATTTAGTAACCGCGATTAAATCCTATCACTATTAAAAATACATCTAATTATGATTGTAATATGTAATATTTATAAATTACATATAATTTTCAAAAATTTCACATAAGAAAAAATGATAACTTTTAAAGTTTTAAAATAATAAACATTAATAATTTGGTAATAACTCTTAATTAAGTATGAAGATGTTAGCTAATACACTAAATTCAATAAGCATACATTTGAATTACTATACGTATTAATATCTGTATATGCACAGTAACTTGTAGAATAGTCAACTCTTTTTACAATAGACCTTTTTATAATGAACTCTGAATATAACATACTAAAATTTCAAAACATATTAGCTTGGTATAGAGTGAGTCGAATATTATATCTTCAATTTACAATAGAAATAAACCCTATAAAATACAGAATGGTTAATGAAACACAATGGTAGAAAAGTTTTATTCAAAAAGAAATTTTTATAAATTTACAATAAAGAGATTGCTATGGTCACCAACCTGGCATATATTCAAGAATTGCAGTTTTTTTACCAGATCAAATTTTATAAGCCATAGTTTTTGGCCATGGCTTAAACTGTGGCTCAAGCCATGGTTTGAAACTACGGCCTTATGATGCAAAACTATAACTGAGCTATCTTTAAACAAGCCATTAACACCCCTAGTATAGTTGTAAAAGAATTTAATTATATGTGACCTCATGAAAATTCTACTGTAATTAAAATATAATGCAGTATCTCAAAAATGAATTTATAAGTGTTTAAAAAATGAAGATTTTGCGGGATTGTATACTCTCAAAATTAAGATTTTACAAGATATATAGCTTTATTATAGCAATACAAAAACCATTGTTATTATTTCAAACTTTTTTCCCACATGCAATTATGCTGGTTTAGCAAGTTCTTTGAAAATTGTTTTTTGACAAATCCAATTATTTTTTGAATGTCTTGAGATGGTAACATAGAGTGCTGTGCTTTATAATGTAAGAAATATTTCTGAACTTTCTGAAGATCTAGAAGTTACTTGGGAAAAAGAACCTGCAGAAAACCTATCTTCAAATATATCATTGATGTCAAAATTCTCAAAGTTTTCATTAAAAGAATTATTTTTTCAAGAAAAATTTCTCTTTATCAGTTTTATTAAAAGAATTATTTTCTTTGAAAAAATTTTCATCCTTAAAAAAGCTACTAATCGATAGTATAGATTCCTCATCAGAACTATCATTCGAAGCTATTTTTAAAAGCGATTTTACAAAAAAGAAAATAAAACATCGTTATGATCATTGAATTTTGCTATTTAATAGCCATATTGGAGGACTTTGGGATCAAACGAACATTTTAAACTCTTAAAAGTCCGATATATTACTTTTCTTTAAAATCGCATTTGCATAAATTTTATACGTATACGTTTGCATACTATATTACAGTATTAATTTATACTTAATAGTAACCTCATCAACCATACACACGTGTTTGCTAATTTAACGTATTATACTCCACTACTTTACTAAACCATACTCTACTACTATTCGTATTACTCAAAAAACTCACCTCTCACAACTAAAGTTCTTGCATCCTAAATCTGTGTCAAGATGCCTATTAGAAAGCGAATGGTGGTATGCGGGCTGCAGTGTCAGGCACCCTACCCTAGGGATGTTATAGTTTCAAAAATAACCGTTAAGACTTAGTTCAAATAGAAGTTCTAGTTAATTATGGTTCTGGTTAAATACGGTCCTGGTTAAGTATAGTTCAAGTCCAAATTTCAGGTTAAAGAACCATTGATTTTATCATTGATCTAGAAGTTAATTACGTTAGTAAATTTAATTTTTGCAATGATTAATTTAAAAGTTTATTACATATTTTGTTTTGATTAAATTGCTAATAAAAAGCCTCAAAAAGAGAAGTTTGATCTTGTAATTTCATTTTCTTGAAATTATATATTCTTTTAAAAATAACCATATCGACTATTTAAAATGAACTCCTTTGAAAATTCAACTTTATATTTGGACGAAATTACAAATATCAATATTGATACGCAAGTTCAAGTAAACAATCAAACTTCTGATCAAGCCACTTTACCAGATTATATGTATCCTCAGTTTGGGATTATTATGATAAAGAATCATCTAAACATCCTAACCAGCCCGTTTGTAAGGACTTACAATGTGGCAAAGTTTTTTCAACCAAAACAGGAGTATCTACTTTACGTTGACATCTCAGAATTCAGCATAGTATTGATCTTCCAGTGAAACAACGTAATTTAACAAATCATAATCGTTATAATCCCTATAGAGGCAAAGAAAAAGTTGACTGTGATAATTTGTTAATTACTTGGCTTATCGTAGATCAGCAACCTTTTACAGTTGTTGATAATATTTATTTTGTAAATTGGATTAGAAAACTTGATCCACATTATACTTTACCAACACGTCAAGCCACAAAGCAAATGATTATAGATGAATTTAATTATCGACGAGAAAGAATTCATCTTGATCTAGCAAAAATTCCTGGAAAGGTTTCATTAACTGCGGACATGTGGACAGATATTAATAAAGAGGCATTCTTAGGATTAACAATTCATTACCTTGATGATAATTGGAAACTTTGTGGATTTTTACTTGATATTATTCTATTTAAAGTTCGTCATACAGGGATTAATATGGCACAAGCGATTACTAATATATTAGAAGAATTTAATCTTCACAACAAATGTGTAGCCCTTACAACAGATAACGCATCAAATGATTGCATGTAGTCGTATTTTAGCTAGTGAAATTGAAAAAGAATTTAATAACTTGTCATTTTCTCACTATCGCTGCGCCACTCACGTGTTGAATTTAGCAGCTAAACAGGGCCTCGAACTAGTTTCTAGCTCAATAGAGAAAGTTCGAAATTTGATGCTTAAAATTAAACATTCAACATTATTATGTACTGAATTGGAAGGTTTATATGAAATCAAAAAAATTAAATATTTAAAGCCTGAAATCGATATTGATATCAGGTGGAATTCGACACATGACATGCTAAAAAAATATGAAAAAATGGAAGTTGCGTTACTATTATTATCAACAACATGTCCAGCAATTAAAGAATTACTTCCAAACGATGATGATAAAAAGCAAATCCAGGTATATATTTTAAATAAGAATTATTTATTATCGTTATTAGAAAATATTAACTTTAATTTATAAATTTAAAGGATACTCTTTTATTATTAGAACCATTAAAAGTTACAACTGAGTATCTTTCATCAGCTTCATATCCTACTCTTGCTGACGTCCGATTTTACTTTAATGAAATTCAAATGAATCTTGATTTTTATATTGGGCAAAATAATTTTACACAATCTGAAATTGCCGCTTCTATCTTTCAGAAAATTGATGAATATTCATCATTAATGGATGCAACATCAGTAATATCAACTATCCTTGATCCTCGTACGAAGTTAAATGCATTTCATAATAATGAAATTCAAGATGCAAAACAACAAGTGCTCAGGTTGATGGATCACTATCAAAATGAATCATTTGAATCATTTACTGCAACACCAGCAAAACCTTCTACTAATAATTCCAAAAAAACACGGGAATATTTTCGTGGACTTAGAAATCAAGCATATGCGCAGCCAAGTTTTTTACAAAACAAGTCTCCAACTCAAAAAAATCATACAGAGTTGGAAATATACCTTGCAGAACCGGTTGACGAAGAGAATGATGATCCAGTTTTATACTGGAAAACTAGTTGTCATAAATTTCCGATTTTATCGAGAATGGCACGTGATTTCCTGTCCATACAAGCAACAAGTGTTGCAAGTGAGCGAATGTTTTCAATGGCTGGCCATACTATATCAAAAACAAGAAATAGAATACACCCGGAAACTGCCAGAGCATCCTTGTGTGTCAAAAGTTGGATTCTAAATGGAATTGGTGATCAATAACGATAGGTGTACCGGTTTGACATAACGATAAAATATAATTACAGTTTAACCTCCTCACATATAAGGACATCCTATGAAAATTTTTTTTATAAGCAAATTATGATAAATGTAGAAAGAAAACCTTTATACGATTACAACTTTTATAAGCACATTTATAAGCACACTTTTAAGTACTCTTTAAAAAAAGTTATGATCCCAATAGTGTATTGTAGAAAGGTTAGACTGTAAATTAATAAATAGTAAAAAAAACAATTTATTGTTATAAGACTGTAATAAATATGCATAACGATAGTGGTGATAATATTAAAATAATAAATGCTCTATTTTAAATATATATGAAATCGATTGTATTATTTAAAAATATTTTACATAAATCGTAACAATCCCATTAGTCTAATAACAGGTCCCAATTACATGGTCCTAGTCCGGTCTGGTCCATAAATTAATAGTTAAAATGTATAAACGGTCTTTTATTAACCAGACGAACTAGACTGGACTATAACATCCCTACCCTACCCGCAACGCGCTGATCGAATTATTTAGCTTTAGAGAAGGTACCGTAATGCCTTGATATGAGTAACCTTCCGGAATAAGTTGTTTCAATAAACACCTTTAATTGATAACTATTTTCAGGGGATTCAAAAAAAAACGCATTTTTAGATGAAGCTTAAAGAAAGAAACAAACAAGAACAAAGATTCTCCTCCTTATCAAAGTTTAAAGATGCATTTCTAGAATTGACTATATTTATATCAGAAACTTTGTACAATCACGAATTCATGGATAATATACAACCTGGGTCATTTTTTGATGAACCAAATATATACTTATAGAGTATAACTTTACTAAGATAGGTCAAAATTTTTAAATTGTTTAACATTCATTATGACAATGTTTGAGACACAAAATTTATTAGTAAGATATAAAGTTCACAATATCAATATACTGCGTATAAGAACAATTATAACATTTTTAATTTAAAATCGCATTATGTTTCAATACAAATATCGCCAAAAGGAACGATTTTTTTTTTTAACGCCATAACTACTCCTTTTTCTCAGGGTTAGGAGTCCAAATTCCTAATTTTGGTTTTGATGGCATATTGGTGAGTACAGCACCGCAGTTAACGCGTGGAGTATTTGGGTCTTGAAAACCTTTTGCGTTTTGTGTTAATGAATTTATAAAATAATAAATTAGAATAGAAATTTTTAAAGAAATAAAAAATAAAAAAGGCATTTTAAAAAGGCATTTTAACAAAAAAAAAATCATTACCCCAAATAATTTGTTTGGTTTTATTCGTCTCACCATTTAATGAATTCATAGCAGGAGAATTTTCAACAACAGAAGTATTCTTGTTAGATGCAGATCCAATGAATTTACTTTCTTGCTGTTCGTTTGATGGCATATTTTCAAATTCTTTGAACAATAAGAGTGGGAATGAAAAAGAAATTTAAATAAAGAACATTTATATGATTAAAAAAGAAAAACTTATTATTAGTCTCGGAAAGTTTTGGAGTTTAACCGTGAGCATATGAAATTGGAAAATTTCGTAGACTACTGTTACACAATCTTGAAGTTAACTGAATTCTCGAGGAACGTGAAATGACGCACACTTATTAGATGCGCGTTATTTTTCGAGATATTATTTTAAAGGGACTTTCTTACTTCATCGACAACTCATTAGCCGATATCGCTTTCGGTGAAATGACATAGATTTTGAAAATGCAAATAATGACTACTTTTAAAACTTAGGCCGTTCTCAAGCATCTAAATCAATTGATTAAAGAATGATCGTGATGATGCCTAAGCATCGGCGATATTTATAGAATTAAATGCTTGAGCATACTCTTTTTCTATTTTTCATGATCTTCGGTATACTGCCTAAAACGTCTAAAAAATCCAATAAAAAAAATCTGTTCAACCGACTGCCGAAGCTTCAGCTTCGGTTACGTCGGCTTCTTCCTTTAATGATTTTACCAATATTAACCTTTTGTTGTAACGGTAACAACAACTTATGGAATCATTAGCGAAAGTTGCTTTGCAGCAACAAGAAGTAAAAAAAAAAAATTTATTTATATTTTTTTTTGAACGTTAATAATGTTAAATATATATATTAATATATATCTTAAGTTTTTATGAGCGAAAAATGGAATAGCAATATTCATTATGGTTTGGTTAAATGTTAAAAGATGGGTTGTATTAATTACGTTCATATCAAGGTGTCGAGCATTAAAAATAAAGTGGCTAATTTTTTAGAACGGTTAGAAATTTGTTGTGAATTTTGGTTTGAATTCATTGTTTATTATGTTTGATATGTTAATAAAATGTAAAAGTAGTGCTTGAGCGATCTTTATCAATGGTAAATTTTTGGAGAAAAAAGGTGGGTTGTATCTCGTTGATTTATTGATCGAAATGGTAACTCACTTGATTGATTTATTTAATAGTGAGGTGCTTGAGAACGGCCTTAACGACACATAGTAAATGCCGTCATTTGATAAGTATCATTCTTGATTCATATTATATTGAAATTTTTTATTGGCTAAAATAAATTATAACGATAATAAAAATATATTATTGATGACGATCAAATACTTAAATAATCATAATAGTAATTTGATGTATCAAAAAAGATACTTTGAACAATAGGCAGTGGCGAGTAAATGGATTATACAGTATATATGTCGGTTTAGCCCTGATCTAATTTCATAATTATATCGCCCATTGTACCTAATTATATTATAGTAACCTATTACAGTATTATCAATCAAAATTTTCATTAGTTTTTCAGTATTTCTTTATAAAGTGTTCGTAGAAAGTACAGTTTCATATTCACGAACGGTTCAGCTCTTTTTTTTTTTCTAAATTTAGTATCTTGTTTGATAATTATAGGTGATAAATAAGGAATTGAGAAGTTGGCAATTTTGTATATAGTATATTGAACAATTGACCTAAATAGTCGATTAAATAATATACTAACGCTAAATAATCTTATATAGTTGATCTTAACAATTAACTAATTTAACGTTAACGTTAATAGATTGTTTAGCGATCATGATTTAATTTATCTAATAGTTTAGATATTTGATAGACCGAACAATCATGTTTATCATACGATCAGCGGAAACCTTCATTTCTACGTAGCATTCCAAATGTGTTTTATCGATATTACGTACACTGAAGATAAAAATACACAGTAATACTTGATATAATCATATCGAGAGTCTGTTATAGTCACTCAAAATTCGTACGTACTCATTGTAATTCATGACGAGAATTGATTCACATAATCTTTTTGAACTGATTCTCAATCTTGTTAAAAAGAATTGTATCTTTAGAAACCATCAAAGTTACGTAAGTCAATAATAAAAAAAAAAAAAGCAATTTCAAAATTTCAATTATTGTTTATAAAAAAACTCAAAAGAACATGATTTATTTTTTCTTAACCGTTATATAAAACGTTAAATAAAAAAAAAAACAAGGCTCTCATTTTTGTTAATCATTTTTACAAATATTTGAAATAAATATGTTTTAAAGAAAACTACATTTTGACTCCCCTCAAGGAAATAAAGTACGCATTGAATGCAACAGCAAAGCAATGAGCACATATTTACATTAATTTTTTTTTAAATTTTTTTTTTTTATCAAATATGTCGTAAATACCAAAAGAACCTTTTCCCAAAATATCCATAACATTAAAATACCCATTAAGAAAAAAAAAAAAGAAAAGAAATTATGAGATTATGAGATTATTTGAGATTAAAATTTAGTACCGATTTCACTAGACGTGGCATTCCCATAATCGCAAACATTTCCGCCAATGCTTGTAGCTGGATTGCTATCGTCAAGAACCTGCGGAGTATTACATTGAGGTGTACCAGCAGCGCCATTAGCAGTATCAGTAGTAGAAGCAGCATTTACTGATTGATCAGTAGCGGTATTGTTAGTGTTAGTGGCATCGCTTTGTGCGGCTACTTGTGGAGTATCTGTAGCAGTGGATGCCGCAGTAGTTGAGGTATCTGTACCATTATTAACTGATGCTGCATTTACAGCATTTTGTTTATTCTTCTTGGTTTTCGTTGCTGCTGCTGGCGTTGTTGCTGCGCCTGCTGCTGCTGCTGTTGCTACAGCTCGTTTTTCGACAACAGGTGCGGCAGATACGAATACTACAGCAAGGAGAGCTACAAATACGAAAAGTTTAAGGAAATGCATGTTTTATACTTTGAAAGTCGTAATAAAAGTTTGTATAAAGTTTTTTTTTTCTTTTGAAAGATCGTTTAGGGAATTGTTTTAGGACAAATTTGATAAAAATATGTCGTCCGGCGACAGAAATAGAACTATTTTTTTTGGTTTTAAAGTTTTCTTAAAGCTTATTTGAGAGGAATGGCTATACCCTAAGGCTAATTCGGTCTGCTTTTATACTTTTTTTTTCTATTATTTTCTGTGTCCATTTAATGTTACAAAATTTTTTTTCGTTGCTAAGAATGGTTGAACAATTGCAAATGATTGAAAAGGTAAATATATTATAACCTTGGCAAATTAGAACAAATTATTATTACTACCGTAAATGCCATTAAATTAGGTGTTAAAGTTTATGTAAAGTAATATTGTGAAAAAATTAATACGTAGAAAAAATTGAAAACGAGAACACAACATAAACTCTCCTGTTTCAAATTAAGTTCACTTTTACAACCAAATAATGAATACATTGAATGCATTAGGACATATTTCTTTGACCTCAGAAACTTTTAACTTGTACTATACTATCTATGCTATCTATACCTACCGTAGAAAATTACCGTAAAAATTACCGCAAATGTTCAAGATTAATCAATTTCTCAATTATTCTTCTCATTGCCTGATGCTCTTTAATCGTGAAGTTGCAGCTTCAATTTATCACGAAACATTTGAATTTTACTTTTGTTAATTGAATTGTTTGACGTTTATAGATGTGTGTACTCCACAATTTTACAATTTTTTTTTTTTATATATTATGTTTTATTAAAGTAATTAGTGTAATAAAATGATTACCAAATGTGGTTTTAAAGATTATGCAATAGGATAATAAATGCTACTTTTAATAAAATATCATGGGCTTACTTTTGAAGTATCGGACTTTTAATTGTAAAACGTTTAATTCCCCTACCTTTATGTAGTTGTTCCACAGAGTCTTAGACTTCTATTAACAGCATTTGAAAAAGGAGTTCTTCATGTTTCATTCTTTATTTTTTTATGAAATGAAAAATTCATTGTTACGTATCGTGCAAAATAAAAAATCTTATCTACCAATATGTTATACGTACGTAATTTACCCTATACCTGTATACTGTATAATTTACTCTAACTGTATATAATTTACCCTATATATTCAATCAATAATTGTTCGGATGGCTAAATATCATAACTAAAATAAGTTATTTAATTATCAAATCTAGTGATTATTTTACACTGCGTAAGCCTTTTGTTTTTTTTTAATTTGCCTATTTTAGTTTAGCGATATTATTTTGATTAAGATGAAAACACGTTTTGTCCATTCTTTATTGGGCAAATTATCTTTGTGAATGCATGCATCATTTAATAATTTGCATTTTTGTTTATTTTCATTTGTAGAATTCTAGAATCTTTCTTTTTAATCGTTTAAAAGAATTAAAAGTCTATATTTTCCCCCTGACAGTTAAGGTTGGCCTAATTTAAAGTTTACATTGGCCTGATTTAAACTTGGTCTGAATTAAATATTGGAAATATCATACTGCATAAATTCTTTATTCAAATAATTCAATAACATTAAACGTTAACAAGGGCTGTTAATCATTTTATTATATAATATATATATATATATATACTGTATATATATACATTGTTTTTGTGTTATGTAGCATTTATAACCTTATAACCTTTTTTGTAAATTACTATCAAATCTATTTACTAAGTGATTTATATTATATATATATATATTTATTATGAATTAACAAAAATGCTATTATGGCTTATGCCGTAACAAGTGATGGCTTAATATTAAGTTTTAACTAGCTACGGTTTAGACCGTAACAGTTTCACATTAATTTTTTTATTTTTAAAAAAATCATTAAAAATAACCAAAAAAAAAATGAAAAATATATAAAAATAAATAAATTTATTACATGAACGAATAATATGATTTTTTTTTAAAAAAAAATGTATTTTTGATATATTTTTGCTATGAAATACATAGAAACCATAATAATCCCCGTGATATTGAAACAGGAGATTACATAGGTATTGTCAGAGAAAATTTTAAAGTTGCATTATTGATATTTAATTTATAAATTAAATGCATTAAAAAAATTAAAAAAATATATAATTTTTGATTATTATGAAAAATGCATTTAATGAAGTTTCAGTTAAAGTGATTCAATTATACGTATCTTATCACTGTCATTTATATACTGAAGATTTGTTCATTATAGAATGTAAAAATATCCTTTTATATCGACCTTCGTTCATTTTTGCGCACATGGTTAAGCATGCATTTCTATTTCATTGAATCCATTACATTTAAATATTCATAGGTCATTATACTTTGACTACGTAAAACTGCGCATATATTAAATTATGTGAGATTTTTTCTAGAAAAATCAAAATACATCAAACATACCGATTTTTATTCACATGTTAATCATCTTTTATTGATTCGATAGTATTGAATCAATGAAGTATAATATGATTTAAATGTGAATAAGAACTGATATTCCAATCTAAGTTTTTCTGAATTAGTCCGGTTGAAAAAATCTGTGATTTTCCTAGCAAAGATCCCATGCAGTGTAAAAAAAATTCAATGTGCGCATGTGCGAAATTTTCTTATTTTAAATATGAAGGTCATGAGTGAGCACATACGTACGTACTTCTCAAACTGAATTTTTTACGAAAAAAAAATTATGCTTGACTTATTTGGTTGGCCAATGATAGACAATTGGGGAGATTATGAAATAAAAAATAATGGCCTCCCTTAGAGGTACTAGGATACGCAGTTAAAAAATAATACTAAACTATATATATATATATCAATATATTAATTGCTGCCAAGGAAAAACCTGGAATTATTAATTTTCGGAAACTGAAACATATCAAATTCTTATAAGATGTTTCTGAAGAAAAATTATCAATTCTAGGCTTTCTCTTGGCAGTACTCACTTCAAAAATTCTTTATTGGGGATCTGTCATGCCCGTGCCTGTGCTTAACAAAAAGCATAGGCAAGGCGCAAACACAAAATCTTAGGCATAGGCATGGTTATACGTAGACACAAAAATTTGCCTCGGGCATGGACACAGGCACAAAAGTTTGGCATGGATTAGCACAGGCACAGATACAAAACTTTGACCAAGAACTTTCGTAAGTATAGATGTAAAATGCCAGGCATAAGTTGTCACTTTAATGCCTGCCACACTTGTGCCTGCGCCCTTATAGTGTCTGCCCGTACCCATAATGTGTCTGGCAATTTTATCCCTAGAGACACAGGCACAGACACGGTTCAAGGTACTAGTGCCTGGCCTGATGCCAGCATGGGCATTTGCAGATCCCTATTCTTTATACTACGTAATACGTACGTACGTACGTACAGTACGTACAGTACGTACTAACTTATTATATAACTTTGTTGTGCATGTGATTTCTATTTTCATAAAGACCATTACTATTGCATTAATTTGTTAAATTACTTAGATTAGGCAACCGGTTGTGATCTTTTATAAACTCTGCCTTCACTATAAAAAATTATGAACTATAAAGAGAATTTCTATTTAAATTTAAAATCTAAAATAACATGAAAAAATTAATAACGATAATTCAAAGTCGTACCTCTCTTAATGTTGCGTTTAGTTGAGCCCAAGTTATGGCATGCATTTAGGGGGTTTTTCCTAGAAAGTGTATTTAGAGGGGTTTCATAAGGCGTGCGTTTAGGGGCTTTTCGTAGGGCGTGCATTTAGGGGCTTTTCATAGAATATGCATTTAAGGAGAATATTTAGTTATACAAAAAATTATATTTGCATGAATTGCAATTAAAGTAGAGATAATAAAGTCTGGTTAGAGATATTAACAGTTGATCTAGTTTAATTCAATTTTAAAAATTAAACCAAAACCAAACTAAATATAAATAAAATTAAATTAAACTAGAATTAAAGCTAATTCTAGTTAATATAAATATTATTGCTAAGTATATATTAAAAAGTTGTATATTATAACACTATTTCAATTTGGTTAAACTTTAACAAAATAGTAGTTTAATTATATATATAAATAATATATAGTATATATCTATTAATATTAGTTATAAACTATATTCAACTAAATGCTATTACTTATAAATCAAATAAGTTAATATATTAATTTTATATAGTATATTATATTATGTAACTTGAATTTACTACTAGCTCTGCTATTATATTCACTATTAGAAATACTACTATTTTTGCTATTTCTGTTTTTTCTTTTAACTTTCTAGTTGCTATATATTCTTTGCTATTTATAATATAGTTAGATATACTCTTTATAAGTATACACACTCTAAATATACACTTAAGTGCTAGTTTTAATTTTTATAAATATATTTTTTTCTTATTATTTTCTATATATACTACAGTATATATACATTATTAAAGTATAGTTTTAAAGATATATATTTAGAGAGATCTAACTATATAAAAAGAATTTATTTTTATTTTTAAATTTAAATTTTGTTATTCTTTAATTTTTTATTGATAAAGTTATCTAAAAACTTATAAATCTTAGTTTTGTTTTATTTAAATTTGGTATAATATAGCTGTTTTGGCTAATACAGTATATAAGATTTTTTAGTAAAAAAGCTAATAATTATCAGATAATTTTTTAGAAAAAGAGAGTCAAAAAATTGAAATTTTATATATAAAATCTAATCAATTATATATTAAAAACTAGAAAAGAAAAATAAGTCTTTAATAAAAAAAATCAAATAATATATAAATAATATTACTTTAATACAAAATATATTAAAGCAATAATCCAAACTACAGAATCAGGTCAGCTTTTGCGTCAAATATCTTGTGCGACAAAGAGGTGGTTCTCGTCTACAAAAGCAGAAATGGTAGCAATATTACTTGCATTACTAACAACACCCTGGGGAAAAAGAGTAGAGATACAAACAAATAGTAATGCGGCAATATTAGCAATCAAAAGAGGTTTAGAGACAGACAAGATAAGA